ATGCCTATAATCCCAGCACTTTGGGAGGTGGCTGAGGTAGGTGCATCACCTGAGGTCAGGAGTTCAAGACCAGCCTGACCAACATGGTGAAACCCTGTCTCTTCTACAAATACAAATATGAGCCGGGCATGGTCGTGGGTGCCTGTAATCTCAGCTGCTCAGGAGGTTGAAGTAGGAGAATGACTTGAACCTGGGAGGCAGAGGTTGCAATGAGCCAAGATTACACCACTGCATTCTGGCCTAGGCAATAAGGGTAAAACTCCTCTCAAAGAAAACCTGCAAAAATTCGCCGGGTATGTGGTGCATGCCTATAATCCTAACTACTCAGGAGGCTGAGACAGAAGAATCACTTGAGCCCAGGAAGAGGAGGTTGCAGTAAGCTGAGATCACACAACTGCCACTCCAGCCTGAGCAACAGAACAAGACTCTTGTCTCAAAAAAAAAAGGCTGTTGGACTGGTAAACACGCAGGGCAGCCATTGTGGTGTCGCCAAGGTAGGATGGGGGAGGCCCTGGTACTTACGCTTGGGTCTGCATCGCCCACAGGTGTCTTTGTCACTGCAGGCTGGGCTACGTTAGGAAGAGGCTCCATAGGGGGCACCAGACGGGAAGTGAAGCTGGGGTGGGGCCGGCAGGCAGGGTTGAGGCTGACCTTCTGCACCTGCAGGAGGGCCAGCAGTGGGCGATGGGGACATGGGCTGCCTGGTCAGGAGGGACCCCATGGAAGGGTCGAATGGGTGGGGATAGGGGAGCACCCAGCAGGCCAGGCTGAGTTGGTACACAGCCAGACAGGGGGCTCCCAGGGGCTGGACGAGGCCAGGAAAGGTGATAGGCCCTGGTCCTACCTGCTGGTTGTCCCCAGCCCACCAGCTGTGGGGGTCAGAGGCAGGCACACAGCTGGCGGTGTCCGGGAACAGGTCCTCATGGAACTCCACAGCCTGGCCACAGACAAGCAGGCAGCCAGTGAAGCCCAGGGCCCCTGACTCCCCAGTCCCCTCAGCCCCTCACCCAGGTCCCCCTCACCTTACGGGGCACATGGTAGCTGATGGGCACGATGGCTGTGTCGCTCAGCTGCAAGACACGGAGTACCTCGCAGCTCATGACGGCCAGCATCCGCCGGGGCACAAGGGTGGCCCCCCGAAGCACACTCTCCAGGACGCACTGGGTCACTGTTAAGGATACCACAGGGGGACGGGCAGGACAGATGGAGGAGTGGAGGGTAGGGGAGACGGGGCAAGGAAGCAAGGCTTACCTGGGCTCAGCGCCGGCTGCTGCGGGACCACCTCGTAACAGTACAGCTGCCTCTCGCCCTGAAATGAGTCTGAACTGAGCCCTGTTTGCTGACTGCACCCCTAGGGAGGGCCCAGGGCTGGCACCAGCTCCCCCAAGAACCTGAGCCACAGAACCACGGTGGCTGGCGATGGGGCCACCTCACATGCTCGGTGCTGAGCTGAGCCCTGGGCCAACTCTACGTCACTTGCTCAGCCTCACTGCGCATGGGGTGAGCACTGGGGGTATACGTCAGAATTTACGGAGTGCTGACTGTGTGCTCAGCCCACTCTATTCTCGGTCTTGTTCTCAGGAAGGCCAGTGTTCTAGGAGAGCTATAGTCACCTTGGCTGCACGAGGAGGCACAGAAGCCCTGTTCTAGTTCCTCCTCTCCCTCAGGGAAGGTCAGGGGCTGGACTCCAGGGTGTGGATGCCAGTGGGAGCCCCAGCTTCTCACTCACCTTTCCTGCCAGGACCAGGAGCCCAGAGTCAGGGTCCAGCAGGGGCAAGAGACACCTGAAGGAGAGAGGTCAGGATGGTGGGTCAGGGCAGTGGGAGGGCAGCCAGCCTCGTGACCCCAGGTGGGAGCCCCAGAGAGGTGCCACAGTGACCGGGAGCCACTTGGCCATCCAGCCACATTCAGTCTGGTCCCCAGGAACCCCCTCCTCTTCCTCAGCTTCCCACATGCCCAGCAAACGCCCACACCCCAGTTGCTCCTCTCAGGCCTCCACCTGCACACCTGCGTCACTCCAGGATTCAGCTGCGCCTGGGCACAGGGGAGCTCGGGCCCAATCTCAGCCCCAGATCTTCCTCCAAGAAGACCCCAGGTGCATTCTGTCCCCTTCGCACTTCTGACAGCCTAGACATCAGGCCAGCATTGCCAGGGAAGGTGGAGGGGGGATGCCAGATGCAAGGAGCCCCCATCCCATTCAGCGCTGCCTGTGGATAGGCAGTGTCCAGGAGCAGTGCGGCCAGCCCTGCCGCTCCAGATCTGCACAAAGGTTTGGGGCCCTCTACTCCATTACCCCACGCTCCCTGGGACTTGGGCTCAGAGCCCCCTCCACGCTGACTTCAAGTTCCTGTGCCCAAATCAGAGCCAGGTGCCTGGGAGAAGGAGCCCCTTCGGCTGCTGGGCCTCCCTGCCCTCCACAGGCTATAGCCCCACTGAGCCTGCTGGCAGGATGCTCCCAGGCCCTCGCTGGTCTCAAAGGGGGTAGCATGATGGGATGGCAGTTGGGAACAGAGTCAGCAGACTGAGAGCCCCTGCCACCCTATGCCCAGCTCAGCCTTGGCCAACTGCCTGTCACTGCCCAGGGCTTTATGCCTCCCTCCAAGGGCCTTTCGGAGACCCCTGCACAGCCCCTGCGCCCTGTGAGAGCTGCCTTCCCACTCCACGGCCTTTTGAAGGGAGTGGGGGCCTGGGAGAACTCTGACAGATACTTTCCTGTGTTTCTCAATCCTGATCTTTGCTGCTGCTTTTTTTTTTAGAGACAGGGTCTCCCTTTGTCACCGAGGCTGGCGTGCAGTGGCACACTCATTGCTCTCTACAGCCTCAACCTCCTGGGCTCAAGAGATCCTCCCACTCAGACTCCAGAGTGGCTGGGACTACAGGTGCGCACCACCATGCCTGGCCATTTTTACTTTTTTTATTATTAATTAATTAATTTATTTTTGAGACAGAGTCTCACTTGGTCACCCACGCTAGAGTGCAATGGTACGGTCTCGGCTCACTGCAATCTCCATCTCCCGGGTTTAAGCGAGTCTCCTGCCTCGGCCTCCAAAGTAGCTGGGAATACAGGCACTGGCCACCAACAATTTTTTTGTATTTTTAGTAGAGACGGGGTTTCATCATGTTGGCCAGGCTGGCCTCGAACTCCTGACTTTGTGATCTGCCCATCTCGGCCTCCCAAAGTGCTGGGATTAGAGGTGTCAGCCACCGTGCCTGGGCTTTTACTTTCATTTTTGTAGGAACAGGGTCTTACTATGTTTCCAAGGCTGGTCTCAAATTCCTGGCCTAAAGTGATCTTCCCACCTTAGCCTCCCAAAGTGCTGGGATTACAGGCGTGAGCCACTGCACTGGGTCTTGGTTTCTTGTTTCCAGGATCTGCAGACAGGGATCCCCCCAACCCAGACACTGACACCCTCAAATAGAACCTCATCCCCACTGTGTTGCCAGGGTCAGAAGTCTCCCAGCTGTGGCAGCCGCCTCTATCCCTCACCCCAGTGACAAAGGGCCCAGGCCCCCTCCACTGTTGACCCTCCCACCAGCTGGCCACTAAGCAGTCCTGCCCACCTCTCCTCCCCACTCTGCCAGGAGCCACAGATGGCTGGGAAGCTGGGTGGGGTCCTGGGTGTCTCCATGACTTCCTGGAGTGCCTTGGGCTGGTCACCTGTGAGTAACACAGGGCCCTAATTACTGCGGGCCCAGCAGGGTGAGACGGGCTCAGCCATACCCTTTGCAACCTGGCCTGACCACTGCCTGTGGTGGCAGAGGCGGAGGGTCGGGGACCAAGGTGTGCATGACCTCAGGTGCCCTCCACATGGACACCGGCTCCAGTGGGGCTGGAAACAAGTCCCCTTGAGCAGCTTTAACAGGGCTTTCACTCACTCATTCATCAATTCACAGTCATTCATTCCTTTGATGAGGTGGTCTGTGCCTGGTCCTCGGCTCGACCTGCATGCAGGTATATCCAGAAGTGAGTGCAACAGACCCTGCCTCTGTCCTCAAGGTGCTCACAGCCTAGCACAAGAGGCAGACAGACACAATCCCATAGACAAACATGTGAAGGGAAGGTTCACCGAGGACATGCAATGACGGGGCAGGGCGACTGGGCCTCAGCTGTGGGGGAGGGGGTGTTCCCTCCGATCCCAAGGTCATGCAAAAATCAAATACCTCACAGGGAGAGAGTTTCGGAGAGAGCACAGCCTGTGCAAAGGTCCTGTGGCAGGTGGGTTCATGGCCTATTTGAGGAACAAGATAGATGATGTGTCTGGCAGCCTGGACAGTGTGGGTGAGGGCTGAGGCTCAGGATGGGCAGGTGGGGGCTAGATGGGAGGGCTGGTGCATGTCAGGAGGGGAGTTCTGTCTCTAGTAGATGAGCAAACAAAAAGGTGGCAGTGTGTTTCCAGCAAAAGAGGCTAGGCCAGGCACAGTGGCTCATGTCTGTGATCCCAGCACTTTGGGAGGCCAAGGTGGGAGGATCATTGAGCCCAGCAGGTCAACACTGACCAGAAGTCTCCCAGCTGTGGCAGCCGCCACACTGACCAGACTGGGGAACACTGTGAGACCCTGGCTCTTCAAAAAATTAAAAATTAAAAAAGCCAGGCATGCTGACTCATACCTGTAATCTCAGCACTTTGGGAGCTGAGGTGGATAAATCACTTGAGGTGAGGAGTTTGAGATCAGTCAGGCCGACATGCTGAAACCCTGTCCTACTAAAAATACAAAAATTGGCCACGTGTGGTGGTGCGCACCTGTAGTCCCAGCTACTTGGGAGGCTGAGGCAGGAGAAGTGCTTGAACCCAGGAGGTGGAGGTTACAGTGACCTGAGATTGTGCCACTACATTTCAGCCTGGGCAACAGAGTAAGACTCCATCTCAAAAAAAAAAAAAAAAACAAAAACAAAAAACAATAAAGAAAAAAGATCGCATCACCCTGCTCCAGCCTGGGCAACAGAGCAAGACCTTGTCTCAAAAAATAAAAATAGAAAGAGGATAGGACCAGACTGGTGTTGAGCAGGGATCACACTGTCTGCTGGGAACACAGGTTGGGAGGAGTGGAAACAGGTCTCAGGACAGAAGCTGAGGGCAAGTGGCGAGGGCGGGGCTCCCATGGCCCCTCAGCTGCCCTTATGAGAGGTGGGAAACAGGCCTGGGTACTCCTCATGGCATCAGAGGCTCACCTATGTGCTCAGCCAACCGCCTGAGGAAGCCTGGCACTCGGCCTCCCTCACCCCCATCCCATCGACCCAGCCAGCCAGCCAGCCAGCCAGCCAGCCAGCCACTGACTCAGAGGCAGCAGCTGAGGGGCAGGAAGTCCGGGAGGGCAGGGCTGGCTCCTCCGACAGGTCAGGCCAGTCTTTCTCACCTCAAGTCTTTCTCACCTGGACAACTCTGCCAGGCAGGAACATCCTGCCTCCTGTGGCACGGGCCAAGAAATGGGGTCACGGCACCCAGCCCTAAAGGTTGGCCAAGCACTGGCATGGGCCTGACCCCCAGGCCTTATAAAGAGAGCCAAGTTGGGGGCTGGGCACCATGGCTCATGCCTGTAATCCCAGCACTTTGGGAGGCCGAGGTGGGCAAATCATGAGGTCAGGAGTTCGATACCAGCCTGGCCAACATGGTGAAACCATGTCTCTGCTATAAATACAAAAAATTAGCTGGGCATAGTGGCAGACACCTGTAATCCCAGCTACTTGGGAAACTGAGACAGGAGAATCACTTGAACCGGGGAGGCAGACGTTTCGGTGAGCTGAGATCGCACCACTGCACTCCAACCCGAGCAACAGAGAAAACAAAAAAAAAAAAAAAAGAGAGAACCAAGCTGGGTCTGGGTCCGGAACATGGTATGTGAGCCCCAGCCAGGCAGAGGGCAAGAAGTCGTAAGAGGTGCTGCCAGCACCTCTCCTGCTGGAATCTAGGCCTGCCACTGGGAAGGGCTCTGACCCTGACCCAGGTCCAGGGGTCTGTCCCAGGCATAAAGTTATAGAAGGTCTAGAGCCCACATCTGCCCCCACCCCTCAGCCAGGTCCCAGGAGCTAGAAGACAACCTCAGTACCAACGGGGAGGTAGGAGCAGCTTCAGCCTCCAGATAAGCCCATCAGCTCTCTGATTAGCACACAGGGGAAGCACCAAGGGTGTGTTGCTGCAAAAAGCAGCTGCAAGCCTCCTCCTTTGTCTTCCCCTCCAGCCCATCTCTCCCCGTCAGGCCCCTTCCCACCAACCCAGACATTCTGCCATTGCCCCAGTCCAAAGCAGTCTGGGTCCCTTGGATCTGTCCCTGCCACCCAGCCTGGGGAGTTAGGATCCTTGGACCCCCATCCCCACACTCCGTAGCTCCCCCGCTGTATGCAGGCTGCTGGTAACTAGGTTCTAAAGGTGAGTGGCACCTTGAAACCATATGAGGCAATATTGGATAAACTAAGAGGGGTCTCCTAGAAGCTTCTCTTGAGCCTCTGGGTGGATGGGGACCTGTGTAAGCCCAGAGCACAGGATTGGAGCAGGGGGTAGACACCACGCAGATGGGGTCCCTCTATCTGCAAGAACTGGCCACAGAGGCGAGAAGCTTCGAGGCCAGCAGAAAGTCCCATTCTTTGGGGAAAGTCAGGCTGGAGGCTCTTGGAGCCCTCTTTGTCCCTCACCCTGGGCAACCGTGGATGCTTCTGAGGGCTTCTGAGGACACAGAGCCAAGGGAAGAGGCAGGGAAAGTCTCACAAGAGGCCGCAGAGCACTGATTGGAAGCTGAGATGGTTCTGAGTCCAGGCAGGAAGCTCAAGTGAGTGGACAGCTTGGTGGGA